ACTAGCAGCAGTACCGTACCCGCCCGGCCGAGTTAATGACCGCGTACTGTCAAGCTTGGCCGGCATTAGCATTTAGCAGCCACCCAAATCTCATCCGAGTGATAATGACCGAGCAAGGTATGAAGGCACGCACAGCGGTGGGGGCAAAGGGCAACCTGTCCTGCTCCAAAGACAAAGAGCAACCCGGCCGCTCCTTTTCGGCCGTCGGGAGGCGTGCAGGCTAAGCTTTCCTCCCGGTTCTGCGCGTGTCGTGGACGCGGATCATCGCCATTAGCGACGCGCGCACCGGCGGCCACGTGAGCGAGCGAGACGGTACGAGAAAGAAGGCGCCTCCCGACCGACTCCTGCGCCCATGCATTAACATGGCCGTAGCCCGTCCAACCACCCTCACCCCTAATCAGTTGAGAAAATTACCGGGGTGCACATCCCACTAATGGCTGGTGGATAATAAGGCGCCAAGGAACGACGCGTCATACGCGCCGTGGAAGGAGGGGGAGGCGCTGGCAGGCAGGAGCAGGCTCATCCAAAAGTTCCCTAAAAACAAGCTCGCCGTCACCGCCGTCGTGGTTTGACCGTCCGTCCGTCGGTTAGCCCTCGCAGCCGGTCTAACTCAACCGACGAGAGAAAAAACCAAAGATTGGATTCGAGGTTTACCACGCTGGAGAAAGGGGGAAGATTCGAGGCTGCCGTGCGTCTGGGGCCATCTCCCTCCGTTGCTCCTTCGGCTCCGCTTTCCTTAACTAAGCCAGGACTACTAGTCAAGGCCCACAGAGAGTACCGGGCCCACCCGCCCGTCCCTTGCTTGTCATCTTCCCCTCCCCTCGCTCCATAGAAGAGCGTGCCCAGCCGCCTCTTCTCCTCCCTTTCTATCTCCTCCTGTCTCTGTACTCCTCTGCTCTGCCGCTCTCAGAAGGGAGGAGAGGACGCTCTCAGAAGGGAGGAGAGGAGACGAGACGAAAGCGGAGTTCCCTCGCTCGCTCGCTCGCTCTCCTCAGATTCCCCGCCCGCTCTGCGCTGCGCTGCTCTGCTCGCCTGCCGCCCTTCCTCGCCTGATTGATTCGGTTGCTGCGCGCGCGGGCGCCGAGCTGATTGGGGGGAGTCGGCGCGGGGCGAGGAGCTAGCGGTCGGCTTGGCGGTCTCTACCACCACCACGGCGGCGGCGGCGGCCATGCGGATCCCGCGGCGGAAGGCCGGGGTGCCGCTCGGCGTGCCCAGCCGGCGGGCGCAGATCGCCGCGGTCTTCGCGCTCGCCGTGCTGCTCGGCGTCTCCGTCCTCTACGACAGCGCCCACATCGCCGCCTCGCTGCGCCGCCACAGCGGCTACAACAGGCTCTCCCCCACCAGGGTAAGCGATACTCTCAATTAACCAGCTGGGCGACGGCCGCTCCGTGTGCGCCTTGGTCGCGGGCTCGGCCTAATCGGGAATAATAAACCCTGCAGGAGGCGCCGGCGGGGGCTGGCCCGCGCGCTACACCGGCGCAGGCAGTGGAATCAGCGGGGGCGGCCACGGATCGGACCGACCCGCCCCCGCGGCTCGGGGCGGAGGGGGTGTCTAAGTCTAACCCCGGGACGGCAGCCGATGGGTCCTCGCCGGAGACGGGGGTCCTGAAGGAAGTGGTGGCGGAAGGGGGCGAGGCTACCTGCGACATGTACAAGGGGAGGTGGGTGCACGACGAGGAGAACGCGCCCATGTACAAGGAGTCCGACTGCGAGTTCCTGACAGAGCAGGTCACCTGCATGCGCAACGGCCGCCGCAGCGACGAGTACCAGAAGTGGCGGTGGCAGCCTGATGCCTGCGACCTCCCAAGGTACGCTTCTTTGTTTTTCTATTCCCTGCGCCTTCTCCATTTTTTTCTAGATACATTCAAAACGTGTTCATGCGCATATGTGTACGCGCTACGCAATGGCCACTGGTTGGTTCTAAAAGAAAAAGGTGGGTAGTGTGCTTTCGCTAACTGGAAAGTGAGAGTTTACGCGTGCTTCCTATAATCGTATTGGCCGGCTGGAAAGCGGCCAGATCATTTCTGGCATGTTTCTCTTCCTTTCTAATCCAAGTATTACCGAAAATACACTCATGGTATAATGGGTGTTCATGACGATGAAACGATTATGTGGTACCAAACCATGGTTTTGTCCTTGCCAGTTAGTTCAAAGTTTCATCAAGGCATGTGGCTGTTCACATTATAATTATAGAGAAAACGTTTGGTGCACCTGATTCATTACCGGTGTTTCTTGTTACCTAAGATTGGTATAAGGGGTTCTTTAATTGGTTAGGTGACATAATGGAAGAAGAGAAGAGGCTGCACTCATTGATAATCTATATGGTCTTTCTTTAAATACATTAAGCTATTTAATGGTTGGTAGAGAAGTTCCCTTTGTTACAACTAGTTGTTGGGTGAGGGGGAGAGAGCCAGAGGGGTATGGTACAGAGTGTTTTGGAATCTGAAAGCAAATAGGAGTTGTTGTCTAACATGACATCAGCTTGTAAGCTTTGCAAACTTATAACCATTTTGTGTACATAACTGGAGCAGTTTAGAGTTAATATAGCACTTTCTGAACGTATTGCCCTATCGATTTAAGTGAATTGTATCAACGTTAGTATACTATAAAGACACTGTCTTCCGCAAAGTTTGTATTGAAAGTTAGGTCAACCAAGTTCATCTTGTACAATCTTGTTGAATGAACATAGCTAAGAAAAACGTCAGAGCAGGTTTATATGCGATCCTTCAATGTTCACAGAATTTGATGGTTTTTGGTGCTGAATTGATCTTTTTATATATATTTTTCTATCAGGTTCGATGCTAAGTTGCTTCTTGAGAAGCTAAGGAACAAAAGGATGATGTTTGTGGGGGATTCACTGAACAGGAACCAGTGGGAGTCCATGGTGTGCCTGGTCCAGTCTGTGGCTCCATGGGATAAGAAAAAGCTTGTCAAGAATGGATCTCTAAATGTGTTCCGCCTTCATGTAAGTATTTTGCGCAATATCTACTTCTCTCTGACCTCACTTTGTTTTTCTTCCAATAGAGGTCTGAGGAAACAGTAGTACTAATGATTTGACTAGCAGCAGCTTGGTATGATAGTGATTGTACAAGCATAATTTTTGAAGTTGGGCCAGTGACCGAACCAGCCAAGCCACTGGGTCAATATTTTTGTGGTTACATATTATTATTTTGTTATTAGTTCTTTCGTATTCCAAAAAGGATAGTAATGCCTAAACGTGTTAGCAGTTCCATCCATTCATACTTGACCCTTACAAACATGAGTTTTTGAACTAGGATCTAGTAGAAAAATGTTCTTGTGCATGTGGGAGATGCAGCAGCTTGCTTGAACCGAGCGCAGCAGCTTGTAGGTGGTGGCAGACTAGATGATGATGCATAGTGCACGGATGTGTGTTTTTTCACTTCTTGCAATCAAGGTGTAGCCTGGTACTGTAGAGGATATAAAATAATCTATGGGATTATGGGAAGTTATGTGAATGGGGTTATGGGGTATAGTGGCTGCTATATAATAGGTCCCTCGGGGCACACAATTGAGACTGTCCTGACCCAATCTGGGTACCGTTCTGCTATTTTCTTTGTGTATGTTCTTTACTTCCCCTAACTGTGGTGTGATGACCATTGACTCTCGAATATTCTATCGTATGTCTTGACATGTGAATTACATGGAATATTTCAGGAGTACAATGCAACGATTGAGTTCTATTGGGCTCCTTTCCTAGTTGAGTCGAACTCAGATGATCCAGACATTCATAGCATCACTGACCGAATGATCACGCCAACATCGATCGCCAAGCATGCAGCAAATTGGATAGGGGTGGACTATTTGATCTTCAACACTTACATTTGGTGGATGAACACCCCGAAGATGAAAATTGTGTGAGTAACTGTTATAATCAAGTCTCAATCCTTATGAACATTAAACCAGTTTGCTTACCCAACCTTGAGAGTAATGTGCAACATCATGGTATTCTTACACATGTTATTTTGACTACAGGCCTGACGGATCCTTCACAAGGAAACCGGTTAAGTATGATGAATTGGATCGTGTGGTTGCATACCGACAGATCCTCGAGACATGGTCTGGATGGGTAGAAGAGAATGTAGATCCCAAAAGGACAATGGTCTTATTCATGAGTGTTTCACCAGTACATATGCAGTAAGCTCTCTTTGCCCCTGCAAATGCACACATAATTCATATCTGCTGCATATATCAAGATTCTTTGGGTGATCCTAGAACATCATGAAGCTGGCTATCTTTAATTAAAATACTGTGTTATCTGCATACATGAAGATTCTTCGGCTAATCCTAGAACATCATGAAACTTGACTGTATTTAATTAAAACTCTTTGACTGTTTCTTGCTGCAAATATTCCCCAACAGTGTTATTAGGATGAAAGCGAAGATGTTGGTAGTGCACATGATGTGATACTGTGTTAACTTTTAGACCTTGTGCTATTGTTTTGGCACGAATTCTTGGTATAAGGATACTGGCTGATGAACAATCATTGACTTCTTACAGGAGTGAAGGCTGGGGCAGTCCTGACAACATAAAATGCTTCTCTGAGACACAACCAGTGCTGAATTACACAAAAACACTGGATGTCGGCACTGACTGGGATCTTTTCACGGAATCTCATGAAGTGACGAAGGCGATGAAGAAGGTACCCGTGCACTTCATCAACATAACCGCATTGTCAGAGATCCGCAAGGACGCACACACATCTGTGCACACGCTGCGACAGGGTAAGCTCCTGACAAAGGAGCAGCAGGCTAACCCACGCAAGTTCGCCGACTGCATCCACTGGTGCCTCCCTGGCTTGCCGGACACATGGAACGAGTTCATTTACGGCCACATTGTGTCGAGCCCTCTACAGCGGCAGATTGAGAATCAATCTGCAAGATGACAATGCATATATATCTGCCCCAAACCTGGTAGCCGGTTAGTACGTAAGATGGTAATTGCGGCCATATAATATATATATTTTTTCTAGGTCTAGAAATATATGCTGTTGGTTCACCTGGGGAGATTGGCTCGAAGGTACGCTCGCAGGATAGCAAACTGTAGCTATAAACAACCAAGATGGCCTGAGAGTTATTATACCGTCTGCTCGTTCCGAGTGTGACTATTTAAGAGGAATGCTCCGATGAAAAAAGAATCTTGTTTCAGTTGATACTTGTACATATTTTTTCCATCAAGCTCTTTTCATGAGGATATTTAACTTTTTGGGCTGTAACAATTTCAAAGAGCTTCACCAATGTGCGCCGGCTGGTTGGCTCGCGCCAGCCGGGTCCTGTATCGGGCCCCTCCTATTCTGTGCCTTCTGTGCCAAGGCGCAAAGGGGCGCTCGTGGCAGCGTCTTCTTGCCTGGAAAAAAGTTCGCGAGTTTGAAAAATGGTTCATTGATCGTGAAAAGAAGTTCATCAATTATGAAGATGTTCAAAAATTTGAAGAAAGTTCATTGATTTTTAAAAAAAGTTCATCAATTCTGAAAAAAGATCATTGATTTAAAAAATGTTAATTGAATTTTAGTAAGTTCAACGGTTACAAAAAATTTTCATCAGATTTTAAAAAAGTTCATCAGTTCTAGAAAAGTTCACAAATTTGGAGAAAGTTCACACAACGTAAGAAAATAAAAAACAAAAACGAAAAAGACAAGAAAGGGAAAAATAAAAGTAAAGGAGAAAAAGGAAAAAGAAAATAAAAGGAAGGAGAAAAAGGAAAAAGAAAAGAAAGAAGAAGAGGAAGGAAAGGGAGCAGTTAAAATGTCTGGATTTGTAAGTTCATCGATTTTTTAAAAAGTTCATCGAATTTGAAAAAAATAATCATCAATTGTGAAAAAAATCAATTCTAAAATAAGTTCATCAATTTAAAAAATGTTCATTGAATTTTAGTAAGTTCAATGATTATGAATTTTTTTATCAATTCTGAAAAAGTTCACAATTTTGGAGAAAGTTCACAAAATTTAAGAAAAGAAAAAAACAGAAACGAAAAAGACAAGAAAAGGAAAAAAAGGAAAGAAAAAATAAAAAGGAAAGAAAGAAGAAGAGGAAGGAAAAGGAAGCAGTTAAAACGTCAGGATTTGTGCTCGGGTGGTTTGTGTTCATTATCAAGTACGTGAGATCCCTTGTTTGATTTTCCTCGGCGCACTCATTTTTTCATTTTAAACCGAAAAAAAGAAGTGAAACAGGCCAACCCACACCGCAGTAGGGAAGGTGTGCTTCATGTGTCCGTTTGCAAAATGGCTGGGCGCGTGAAGCGCCAAATATGAGATGCCCCGGTATCGCGTTCGCAGCGCTGACTTGCGCGTGGGGCTTGCGACGCATGTGGCGCTGCAACCGTGGGCATTTTGGTCTACTCTTTAGGCGGTTGTGTTTGGTGGCTGCGTCCTGATTGAAAAGGACGCCCCCTGATGCCCGATAACCCTAATTTCTTTTCTAGTCTCCCTGACCCAATGCCTTCTCCCATCCCGTCACATTCTCTTCATCGCACACGACCACCATCACAGCTCCGTCTCCTCCATGCCTCCATCCCGCAAATCTACAGTAGGAAGGACGGATACGACCGCCAAGGCGCTGGTGCACGATCCTGATCTAAGAGGGAAATTTCTTTTCCCGTCTCCCTGACCCGATGCTTCTCCCATCCTATCGCACTCTCTTCTTTGCACACGGCAGCCATTGCAGCTCCGCCTCCTTCCCACCTCCATCACACAAATCTACACTAGGAAGGATGGATATGACCGCCAAGGTGCTAGTGCAAGATGCTGATCTAAGCGGGAGGGACAGACGGACTTGTTGTACCTTGATTCAAACACAGCCTATGAGTTGGTTGTGAACTTATCTATGAATCAGGGCCATGAGTTTGATGTGAATGTTGAATTTGAAAGGTTGGACTTGCGTGCGAAATTTAGATTGTATATTGTGGGATTTTGCCTGGCACACGACATGATTATGTTGGTGACCGTCACCATATGTGTTGCAGCCACTAACACGGTAGGTTGGAATTTAGTCGGCGCATGAATGAGAAAGACACTTGTTGTCTTGTTCACAAGCACCACTTGCTTAGTGTTCTTCTGCATTCATGCCTTAGCTTGCTTAAGCATTGCAAACAACTCGTCTACAGTCTTGTCCAATCCCATTATGTTGTAATTCATGATAAAAAAGTCGTAAGACGGGGGAGTGAAGCAAGGACGATGTCAGTCCCGAGTGTTGGTGGAATTCCAAATTCCAAAGCAACAAGTCTATCACAATAGCCTGGTATCTTCACAATATGCTCATTCATCAAATAATTTTCAACAACCTTGCACTCAACCAGGCCTTAGTTATTTCAAAATATTTGGTCCTTGTCTGCTTCTTGTATAGAGCATTCAGTGATTGAACTATTTCAAACGTACCAAATCATTCAAAATATTTTTGTAGTGCATGATCCATGCAAGTTAACAGGAGGCATTGAACAACTACAGTGCCATCTTTCTTAGTGGCCTAGACATTTCTTTCATCTTTTGGGGCAGTTGCCGCCAGCTATTCTGGAAGAGCCGCATCTAGCTGCTACTCCAACAGGAGTCATTGGGTTTCCCCAAAGAGGAAGGGTGGAGTAGATAGTAGCAAAGTTTTCCCTCAGTTAAGAACCAAGGTCTCATATAGGCATAATCTCATATAGGCATTACACACGGTAGGTTTCCCCTACAGGAGTCATTGATTCGCCACGTAAAATTTGGCATAAAAAATAAAAATATTGGTCATAAGACAAGAAAATTTGCAGTCTATGTATATTTCACACTATGTTTTTACGTTTGTAATTTTACATAACATAAAATATTTTTTACGGCGATTATATATTTTCTTACAGTCTATTTTTACGCCGGAAATAAGATAAAACTTACGGAAAGTAAAATTTCGGTGCATTGATATTAAAATAGAGGGAGGGTGAAGAATAACTATACCTCACTCAGGGTGACGAATAGTCAATTCACCTTGAGTGAGCAATAGTTATTCTTCACCCTCCCACTATTTTAATATCAACGCACCGTAATTTTACATTCCGTAAATTTTGTCTTATTTCATACGTAAAAAGAGACCATAAGAAAATATATAGTCGCCATAAAAATATATATTATGTTACATAAAATTACAAACGTAAAAGCATAATATAAAATATACATAAAATACAATTTTTCTAGTCTTATGACATATAATTTTGTTTTCTTATGTCAAATTTTATGTAGTGAATCAATATGAATGTAACTATTGGTATTTCAAATGTAATTTATTTATGAAACGATGGTAAAATTATCTCGGGTGAAGAATAACTTATTCTGCACCCTGGGTGATGATGTAAATAAAAATTTTTATTAATCATGTATTACGAAATGTTGATTTTTTGAACATGTATATAAAATTGTTAATAAATCATTTGAAATAAAATGTTGAGCAAGTATTTGAAATTTTTTAATCAAGCATTTGGGAAATGTTAAATACCTAAATGTGTATAGAGAAAATGTTGACCATGTATATAAAAAAATTAATCAAGCATTTGAAAAATGTTAAACAAGTATTTGGAAAATGTGAATCAAGCATTTGGAAATTTTTAAATGTGTAGAGAAAAAAATATTGACCATGTATTAAGAAATGATGAAAAATTTGATCATGTATATAATTTTTTTAATCAGGCATTTAAAAAACTGTTGGACAAGTGTTTGAAAAATGTTAATCAAGCATTTAGAAAATGTTAAATCTTAAATGTATACAAGAACAATGTTGATCATATATTTTAAAAATGGTAGTCTTTTTTTATTTGAAAACTGTTAATCAAGCATTAAAAAATGTATATAAGAAATCATGACTATGTATTTTAAAAAATGTTAATATTGTATTTGAAAAATGGTAATGAATCATTTTAAAAATATGTATAGAAAAAATATTGACCATATATTATAAGAATGTTTAATTTTTATTGAAATTGTTTATACATGTATTAGAAAAATATTTTTGACATATAAAAAATGTAGAATAATAACCAAAAGGAACAAAGAAATCTAACACAAGAAATGAAAAAATGAAGAAATAAAATGCAAAAAAATAATGAAAAAACAGAGAAACAAAATGCAAAAAATAATGAAAACGGAGAAGAAAATGGAAAAAAAATAAAACCGACTCGAATCGCCTCAAGTAGTTGGATTCCAAGCGGGCCCTGAGGGGTAATTGAAAGCAGGTTTTTTTTAGCGAAGTTCGATAGCAGGTAAAACCGCAAAAGGAAAAAAAACTCACAAAAAAGAGCCACACGACCAAGGACTGGGCCTGCCCATGTTCGGTTGCTGGATTTTCAATATGTTACGCGTCGCGTTGTATAGGACAGGGACCCCTAAAAAACAAAAAATTACAGGGAAGCCTCCTGTGTTACGTTCTTCGACCTGGGACGATCGCTTGCGTTTCTGTTTTTTGCAGAACAAATATACCGCTTGCGTCTCTATTTTGCTTCCAAACTCGCGCTATAGCAGGATATATATACACACATAACCATATCGGTGCCTGTCCCCTCGGGAGTAGTTAGAACTCGTGTTCTCCTCCATTGACCGCCGAATTACTCACGCGTGAAGATTCATCAACGTCTGCGCCTGCGCTCTTTCTCTCTGAGATCCTATTCCAGGACGATGACGCGGAAGGAATGCCCCGGGTGCAGGCTGGACCGTATCAACGAGATGAAGACTGGTGTCCCCTACCTGAATTTCTTTTACATCTGGGTCATCTGCCTCTGCTCCAGTAAGTATTAAGGAGAACCCTTGTTTGACATGGGACCATGATTCTTCACCAACATTCAACTAAGTTACACACTTCTCTACCAAAGAGCCAATCATTGGGTTTTCTTTTTCCTAACTATTCTAAATTACGCAAGCTGCAGTCATTAGGC